CGAATAGGATGTTGACAACTTTCCAGACATCAGAGGAACTTAAGACTTAACCTCAGAGAAAAGCAGCACAAGAGATCCTGAAATTACTGAGATTCAGTTTCTAACTATTTCCTCAGGCTTTATAAATTATGTGCAAGAAGAATAAAAATTTCACCTCTTATACCCCTGAGTTTGTAGATTAGATACATATCCCTTATATTCATTGCAGCAAATAAAGAGTATTTCACTATATTTTACCAGTGGGAGAAAATAATTCATATTATTTGATATCATACAGATATACTTCTCTGATATTAATGACTTTAAAAAGCAATCTGTTCAACAATGCTTCTCAAACTTTACTGTACCCACAAATCACCTAGGGATCCTTTGAAAATACTCAAGATTCTGACTCGGTAGGTCTGCACGAATACCTGAAAGTCTTATTTTTAACCAGCTCTCAGGTGATTCAGTGGCTGGTACGGGGACGACCTCTGGAGTAGCAAGGCTATTCAAAATGCTGGTAAGATGACTACATACACTACGTTGTTTTCAGTACACAGTGGCTGGCACTTTCTTAAACAAACACAGGGTGGTGTTTTTTGTGCCTGAACTGCACCATCGATTTTGCCACAATTTTAGACTGCAGCTTAAAATACAAAATGAATATAGCAACAAAGAAAGTTAATTCAGAATCAGTCAACTAAGAGCAGGATATGAAGACAAAAAAAACTAACGTCCTTCATGGGTTATCACCTATTTCAATTTTTAAGAAACTAATTAAACATTATTTCTAAATGATTGAAATTTTGAGTGTCACTGAAAAAACGTTGCTCATTTAGAATTTTAAGTCTTTTTAACCACGTATAATGTTTTAAATAACTTAATATACAAGTATATTCTAATCTGTAATATAAGTTACCATTCTGAATAGAAGTTTAGGTAGGAGACATGTTTGTTAAAATACCTCATTTTACTCAAAAAGGTGAAAAAAGAAAATGTTAGCAAATGAAGCAACTTCTCATTCTCAGCAATTTCTCATTTATTTTTCCAGATTATAAAAATGATCATACTCATTTTAGAGATTTTGGAGAATACAGAAAAATATAAGGAAGGAAATAAAATTATTGGTAATCCCAGCAGACAGGGACAATCACAATTTGGTATATTTCCTTCTAATCATTTCTTTGTGTACTTGTTCCTTTTTTTTTTTTTTAACAAAATTGAGAACATAATGCACATGTCTGTGTACTGCTTTTTCCACATAATATCTCATGAGCATTTCTCCACACCTTTAAATGTTCTTTGAAAATACAATTTAATGGTGTTAAAATAGATAAATATTCCATCAAATGTGGGTGCTGTAATAGTTAACCATTTCCCCATTTTTAGACATTTAAATTGTCTAATTTTTTGCTATAATGAATAATTATGAAAGCAACAAATTGTATATGATTTTTAAGCTAAAATCTGATTATTTTCTAGGACACAGAATTCCCAGAATATCAGTTTAAGGGACTCAGGCATTTTAAAATCTTTAATGGCTCTTGAAACCTATTGCAAAATTGGTATGTCAATAGTTTGGGTGAAGTCTATGGAAGTGCCTATTTCATTACAACTACAGCAGTTCCTGCCTGGAATTGGCATTTAAAAAATCTTCTATAATCTTTGCTAATGTTGATAGGACTCAAATCAACAAATTTACAGTCAAAGTTCTCTTCACCAATTTCCATTTCATTAACTATTGGATTAAACTGACTCACCATTTTCTCAGTAAAGATCTGATGCCCTGGCAAGCTGATTAACTGTAACTAGTTGGCTACTCTCTGGAATACCTGTGCACTTCTGCTTCCCTGATGAGTTGTATACTTATCAAATCAGCTGTGCCCATTACCAACATGTTCAAGCCAGTTATGTTCCTAATTATAAACCTATTATTTAATGAAATACTACAAAAAACAATAAAGTGAGTATATATAAAAGGAAAGTTGAATGTTCTGAAGAACTCTCAAAAGCAAATAACTAAAATAAATTGTTGCTATTAGTGGTTACCAGGAGGTGTGGAGGGGGCAGTAAAGGGGTTGGGGAGGGGAAGGTCCAAACTACTGGGTATAAGACAGGCTCAAGGATGTACCATACAACACGGGGAATAGAGCCAATATTTTGTAATAACTGTAAATGAAAAGTGACCTTTAAAAATTGTATAAAAATTTTTAAATTTTTTAATTAAAAAAATAAAATTGCTGTGAATTTGTGGCAAAACATGCAAATTTGGAGGAAAACAAAACTTTGGATTTGGAACTCAGATTCCTTTGTAAATGCTTTAAGTTCACACTCCAATTTACAGATACTAGAATCAGTAATCTTAGGCCAGTGGTTCTCAACAGGGCAGTACTGACCCCTAGGGTTTGTTTTGGAAACTTGTGGGGCATTTTCTGTTGGGTGTCACCACTGGTATTTAGTGGACTAGGGACAGGGATGTATGACATCCTGTAAAGGCCTGCACAGCTTTGGAAAGTCTCACTGAGAATTCATATAAGTGAAATACCTGCTTTTCCCCTCAAGGAGTGGAGCATAACTCCCCAAACCTTAAGTTTGGGCTTTGCACATTGACTGCCTTCCAAGGTGCACAGTATGGGAAGCGGGTGAGTGGAGAATAACATGACAGTAGAGACAGTTGACAAGCACCACCTCTGCCAGGTGATGAAGTTTTAACATCACCAGTAATACATCATGCTGATAGTGAGTACCCTTGACAAGATGTGGTGAGAAGGGCACTTTTACCTCTGCAGTTTTTCTCCTACAAACCCATAACTCCAGATTCATCATGAGAAAAAAAATCCATAAAATCCCAACTGGGAAACATTGTACAAAGTATCTGACTAGTACTCCTCAACACTGTCAAAGTAATTAAAAACAAATTAAGTCTGAAAAACTATCACCTTCTAGAAGAGCCTACAGAGACATGATGACTCAATGCAATGTGGCATTTTGGATAGGATCCTGTAACAGAAAAAGTAGGTAAAAACTAAGGAAATCTGAATAAAGTATAGACTTAAGTTATTAATAATGGATTAATACAGGTTTAGTACTGGTGACAAATGTTTATACTAAGGTAAGATTTTAAATATAAGGGAAACTGGGTCTGGGGTATATGGGAACTCTCTGTACTATCTCTGCAACATTCCTGTATCTCTAAAACTAACCTAACATTTTTAAAAATTGTAAAGTGAAACTTGCAACTAGGTAAATTAAGTCCTGGAGATCTGATGCACAGCATAGTGATTTTAGACAACAATATTATATTATAAACTCCAAAGTTGCTAAGAGACTAAATCTTTTTTCTTTTTTTTTAATGGAAATACAGTTGACATAGAATATTATGTTAGTTTCAGGTGTACTAAACAATGATTTGACATTTGCATACATTAAGTAACCGTCTGTCCTCATATAAAGTTATTAGATTATTGGCCATATTCTTTATGCTGCATATTACATCATATGGCTTATTTATTATATAACTGGAGGTTTAATCCCCTTCACCTATTTCACCCACGCCCTGACATCCCCCGCTTCTGGCAACCACTCCTTTGTTCTCTTTATCTATGAGCCTGTTCTTGTTTTGTTTTCTTTTTTAGATTCCACATATAAGTGAGATCATTTGGTATTTGTCTTTCTTTGACTTGTTTCATAGCGTAGTATCCTCTAGACCCATCAATGTTGTTTCAAATGGAAAGATTCCATTTTTTAATGGCCAATATTTTCTTTCTCTCTCTCTATATATATATATACACACCACATCTTTATCCATTTGTCTGTTGATGGACACCTAGGTTGCTTCCATATCTTGGCTACTATAAATGGTACTACAATAGGCTTTTTCCTCCCTTGGATTAGCCCGCCTTTGAGGCGTATTTTTCCTTCTCTAATTAAATCCTTTAAAATCTCTTGCTACGTAACATACTCCATCTCCTGTCTATAATCTTGTCTTTTGGATAAGACAAGGACTGGGGACTCTTCCTTTATTGGGGGTAACATCTTTTGGTGCAATGATTCGGACTCCCCATTATCTGTCTTAGCTTCTCTACACTCTAGCCTAATCTCTCCTCCCTATCTCCTTCCCCTCCATGAGGCCAGTGGAACACCAGCGGGCAGCATAAAGGGCTGTGCTATCCTGGTCAAGCAGCTTTCTTCCTCCTGGGTGATCAGCCACCTGCTAAACTAAAAGGAGATCACTCCAATCGGATTAGAGATTCCCAGTTCACAGTTCCTAGGATTGCCAGCTGGATACACCATACCCAAGTAAAGCCCTAAAACTCCAACCAGGAAGACCAATCCATTGAAAACCTGGACCCTGGTTCCCAAGATGTCTTGGATCTCACATATTCTTGTGAACCTATTAGTGATCTGAGGTTACTTTTCAAGCAGCAGTCCCTTTGCCCTGGCCCTTACACCCACTGCTTCCCCACTGCTAAAACAATTTTAAACTAAGCATGTGTTCTTTGTCTTTTATTTTCTAGCAATTAAAAGTAATTTTTAAATATGTACTTAACAGTGATACAGCTGAAGCTAAATTCTGGCAGCCAGATCACCTTGGTTCTTTCAGGTTTTGCATCAATAGATGTCTATTTCTTGCTTTTACTGTCTCCTGCTGGCTTGATTTGCTGCTAGCATAATTGGTCTTTGTGCCTACTTATTCCTAAATTTGAGGGGTCCCAGGTTCTGTTATTTTCTTTATGCTATTTACCTGCCTTTCTTTCCTGGCTGAGTGATTTTGAAAAGTCAAAGAGCCTTTCTTAACCTTGGTCTCCTTATCCATAAAATGAGAATTATAATAAAGCTTGTTTTACAGTTTTATCAGCCACTGCAATAATGCTGTGCAAAATGTTGAACACATATTAGTTATTTTTAGAATGTCAGAGTATTTTGGTATACTTTGCTCTGGCACCATTCACAGTCACTGAGCTATTATCAATAAATTAGCAACAATAATTCAACACACACACACAAAGAATTGGGTCTTTTCTCATTATAAGCAGCATGCATCTTTACTGATATAACCCTCTTCACAAACAGTTGTGTTGCTAAGGAATATTTATATACATTGTATGCAATCCTAGTCAGAATGTGATGTGGGGAAGCCACGCGTGATTCTAAGGCATCAGCAATTAATTCAGACCACTGTATTATAACTGAGTCCCAGGCTCAGTGGTGTAGGGTTCATGAGACTAATTTATTTTACACTGACAGTAAGCTACAGTCTTGCTGTCCAATCACAGAAAATAAGAAAGCTTCTTGTGCTCTGTTTCACCCTTTCATATCACCACTTCTCAGGTAAGTTAATCTAGAAGTAAGTGAATTGCCCTCATCTCAAGCAAAGCCTGTGATACAGTATAATATTCCTTCAATGCATATAGGGATGAACTTAAAAAAATAAGCAAGGGCTATCTTTTGGTAAGTTTTACTTAGCAAGTAGAGAAGGCTTCTTCCTGTGGAAATAAGGTTTGAACGACTGAATTTATGATAACTGTCCAACTTGGTAACACTCGTACTTCCCACAACTCACTGTTGATATTTGCCCTTTCTTCTTCTCTGCATTTTTCCTACCTTTATTCCTTATTTACTCTCCTCCTCCCACATTCCCTACCCTTCCTATCCTTAGAATTACAACTATTCCCAGTTCTGAATGAGCCTTGCAAGCCCTTTCAAGTCCTTGCAGAACTCCCAGAAGGCAGTCTTTTTCCTTTTTTCCAAAGAACATGCTAGACAGAAGCTTGCAAATTAAGTATAGTCTTATCTAAAATTTGATTTTATTTCAGTCTATAAGTACTGTTATTTGTTTGAACTGCTCACATGAATCCATTCCATCCAAAAAGGAAACGTAAAGTGCCTCTGCTGTAAGTACAGTTGGCACGGCCTATCTAAAGGTCTTCTACAAAAGTCTATAAATCAATCTAAATGTAGTTAAACCACAAACTTGATGTTCTTATTATCTGGGCCATAAGAGATTTTCAAATTCATTTTTTTTTAAATCAGTTTGGTTTTTAAAAACCAAATGTCAATCACAGCAGGGAAGATCACTGAGCTGACTTCTGATTACTAAGTTATGTTATCACTGAACGTAATTTATCCTAAATGATTACTGGCAACTGGAAGACCTTGGGGTAGGGGACTCTTTGCAAGTAATATAAGCACCACTCGCACAGGAACAACCAAGCATCCCCAGAACAGTCGTGTGCTCCTGACTTCCTCCACTGCTTCTTCCCTCACTGTGGTACTCAGGCCCAAGAGCTGAGAGCACAATGCTCAAACTCACTGAAGGTTTTTACAAAGAAGACTAGTGGAGGAGGTGTTGTGATGTACTGATTTTTGAGGTACAATCTAAATACTAAAAATGATGACATCTTGAGTACTTGAGCCCGTTTATATTGCCTTGGATTCATTAAAGTTATTTTGCATGTCTAACCTGCTTTCTATCTCACAGGATGGTGAGGAGGATTAAGTGAGATAAAGTATGTGACAACCTAGTCCAGTGTCTGCATACCCAGTAGAGAATATTCCCATCCTCCTCTCCATCCCAAAGTAAAGAGGTTAGTCCTCGAACTCTGAAAGTACTTCGTAAAGAAGAAGAAATTAGTTTTTCTATCAGCATCCTTGTCAGCATGATTCTGAATTTGTCCCAAGAGTAACTTCTCTTTTGCAAAATAAACTTTATACTATTTGAAATATACATGAAGTTTCCTTTTTGTTCAGTATTCTTTACTTTCCTTTGTGAAAAGTTACTTCTGAGGAACTGAAACCCCACAAGGTAACCACCACAAAAACATGTTAAATTTTTTTTTAAATGATGATTCAAAGGCAGACTTGTGGACTTGCATCTCTTTAGGAGACAGAAGGCAAATGCAGCCTCTGAAGGGAACTGTTCTGATTATTGACTGAAAAAGTAAAGTTTTACTATACATTCAAGGACATAAGACAAAGCACTACTTTAAAACCAGAATGACTGAACAGTTAGGTGAAAAACTTAGCTGAAACAGGAAAGGGAAATGGACCTAAGAATAAGTCTGAATTGGGACAATGACATGTCTCTTATCTGAATATCCTGAATCACACTGATTACTTTTTTACCTTCCACAATGTCTCCACTGAAATCTCAAAGTAGTATTCTCACAGAACTAAATAATAGTTATCATTTTGTTAGGATTCAAAATTTCTATCCAGTAGCCATCAGGATCTTGAATAAATGCCAGGCCTTTCATTTTACCTGTAAAACAAGATAATTTTCATTATTGAAAAGGCTTTAAAAAAAACTTAAAAATTTAAAATCCACTTTTTATTAATAACAATTTTGATTTGCACTTTAATTACATTATTTCGTTTATAGTTTTGACTTTAAAAAATTCTATTGTCAGCATTGCCCAGATGCACGATTTTCAGAATGACACATTTTATCTTCTACACATAGCTGAAAACAAACTGTGCTGAAATAAACTGTGGGACAGGCTGCATCTTTTAGGTCTCAGGTATTTACTTCATCTTCACAGTATCACTTCATGATACCAGAATACCAGATACCAGAATAGTCACAGAAATTGTCTTATTTTAAAGAAGAGAAAATAGGTAGGTGCTCAAGGAAGCAGGTAGCATGGCTTATCTACACAGCCAAAGGACCCAGATGACTGGGTCATGCAAATTCTTTGAACACTATTTATTCTATGTAACCCAAGCTCTGCCAGGCAGATTCTTTCTCCCAGGAATTCATAACTGGGATTGAGTTATGGGATTAACTGGTTAGCATGTCTAGTAGTAGAGCTGTTTGCTTAAATGGAAAAATGTGACCTCAGAAATTTATTTTGGAACCAAGATGCTAAATCAGTTTGACTCCTATTTCTGGCTCCTTTCCCCAAGAACAACCTCAGAGGAACACAGATGGAAAATTGGGGGAAAAAAAAAAAAAAGAAAAGTATGATGCCTCTGGGGTGATGGCTGGGGAGAGAAATGGTAGGGATGGGGTGGTGATTGTTTTAACCTGCTTTGTGTGGAAGAGGGTGGAAGAAGGCAGTCCACCATGGCTGTGGGACAATAAATTGGGAGTTTTGTCAGTTTGGCTCTTGCTCCTCTCAGTGCCTTGGGCACAGGCACCTACCCCTCCAGGTCCACATGTCCTCAGGAGTAGACAAGGGCAGTAAAGAAGCCCTGTGCCTGTTGAGGAACTGAGAAAAGCAGGTGGCACCAACTGTTCCCCCCAGCATTCACTTTCCATACAACCAGACAATCCAGAAGTGTCTCCTACTAATACTACTTCTCCCTCAGGGACAAAGGGGAGAGAGGACCTGACCTGAGAGGTGTCCCACAGAATGTGAAGCATTTAACTCTTATTTTCTCTCTCTGCCCAGCCCATCTCCCTGAGATCATTTGGGTTTTTAAGTACTGAGGTCTGATCCTCCCCATTCACATTGCATGATGGTTGCAAAAACTTATAGTTTCAGTAGGAAACAAAACAAAACAAAACAAAACAAACAAACAAAAACCCCTTGAGGCCAAAATAACAAGAATTTGAGGAACATGACCATAAAACAAACAATGGATTATAGATTCAAACATAAGAATAAGTATTAGACCAACGGGCCAAGACCTATTAAAACACGTAAAAGTGATACAGAATAATAAATATAGCCAATGTGAAATAGGAACAAGAAAATATTAAAGGAACCCAGCAAAAATCAGGGATCAAAATTATAATAGCCAAAATTAATAACACAATAGATGAGAATACAAAAGATGAGTATCAGAACAGATACATCTGAGGAAAAATTAGCTAACTGATATACCAGTTTGAAGAACTCTCTCGGAAGGAAGGCAAGGACAAAGAGATAAACATAAAAAGCTTCTAGAACAAAACAGAAGATGATATACAAAGAAACACAAATCAGCAGATTTTTCAACAACAACACTGCATGGGAAATTAAGAACACAGAGATGTATTTTCTTTTTTTTTTTTGCTGTGACTTTTTTAAAACATTTTTTTATTGAGTTATAATCGTTTTACAATGTTGTGTCAAATTCCAGTGTAGAGCACAATTTTTCAGTTATATATGAGCATATACATATTCACTGTCACATTTTTTTTTGCTGTGAGCTACCATAAGATCTTGTATATATTTCCCTGTGCTATATAGTATAATCTTTTTTATATATTCTACATTTTGAAATCCCAGTCTGTCCCTTCCCACCTCCCACTCAAGATGTATTTTCAAGATTGAAGGAAAATCAACCTAAGATTTTACAGGAACAAAACTGTCTTCATATATAAAGGCGTGCTTCTTGGGCATACAAAGCCTCAAGAGTTTTGCTCCACAAAAACCTTTGAAAACAGTTTTGGCTGAGGTACTTAATAAATGGACCAAAAAATTCACAAGATGCTACAAGAGACATGTGGAGAAAATATATATACCTTGACATATTTATTATCTTTAAGGGGAAAAAAGCCAAGGCCAAAGAAAAAGGAAAAATAAATCAATAATATATCATCCTGGGTAATAGTAACTTAACGGGGATGAAGAGGAGCAAGCTCTTTTCTTATTGGGGAGGAGGATATTTGGATATCAAATCTCTTAATTGCAAAAAAGAAAGGATTGAAACAGTGAAATATTTCAAACGAAAATTGAAATAGTAAGTTATGATGGCAAAAACAAATCTAAATAAAATAATTACAATACATGTAAATCCACCAAAACTCAGATATATAGTACTTTAAGAGACATAAGGACATGCAAAGGTTATAAAAGAATGAAAAAGAAATACCAGGCAGTTGTCAACTGAAGAGAGTTAGTGTAGTTACATTAACAGCAGATGAAATAGACTTTAAGGAACTTAGTTAGGTGGCTAGATATACCCAAGATAGTGAAAGCTGATGGACACTGAGGAATATGGTAGGATCGAGGGTGGGAGAGAGAACCTAGGTCTTTGATGGTTCTCCAGACCCTGTGACTCATCCCTCGTGAAGCCACTCTAGGTGCTGTCTTTTAACTAGGTATTCTTCCAATAATTTCCCTTCTTTCCTTAAGCTGGCTGGAGTAGGCTTCAAATGAAAAGGATTTTACTACAACAGTGCCCTCTGTGGGGGCGTAGTAAACGCTATATAAAAAAAGAGAAGCCTGAAGAAAACAAGTAGCAGACTCACCATCTTCAGGTTTCTTCACAAATTTGACTCCCAGTTCTTCAAATCTTTTACAAGCCCCGTGAACATCAGGAACAGCAATTCCAATGTGACCTTAGGTAATCACCCCCAAAACACGGCAGAGAGAAAGAAGAAACAATTACAACAGGACATTCGTGTGCCACAAGTGGCTTCCAAAACTAGTGGATTTCAAAATATACAGTGCCCAAAAACAGACTGAATCAAGTAGTTCAAAATATATAATATATTAAAGAACAAGAATCTAAGTCTAACTAGCTGGGTATAACAAATTAATTAGTTGCTCTGAATTATAAATTATTTTAAATAAGCCCAATATTGGCTGATGTATAGTTCAATCTGTTAAGGATAACCTACAACAAAACAGAGGAACCATTTACTCATGCTTAACAGTCTTGTTGTTGACATTGACTATAGAGCAGCCAACTTAAGCCGTAATTCTGAGATTTCAGACCAAGGCAGAAGTTAGCTAGCAGAAAGCCGGATTATTATTAACCATCATTTTTGTTTTTTAAATTGAAAACTCTACAGGAAATATTAATACTGAGACTGAAAAGTAAAATTGTGAGAGAGTAAACGTAAAGTTTAGACTGAGATAATGAAATTAAACAGCTCCTAAGTAAAACAATTTGTGGAAAATGAAAATAACCATACTCATAATAAACTGATAATACTTAATGTTTTAGATTGATTACAATCATAAATAGGTACACAATGCACATTACGTACAAACAGGCAAACATACCAAATCCCCGAGGGTCTGAATTGCCACTGTGGTAACTCTGGGTCTCATCGTCTTCAGTGCCCCAATTGCTACAAAAGGAGGGAAATTATAATTACAAATGACCTGTAGAATAGATATTCTGAAAAGAAAGTTACAACAATCTTTGAAATCTTACCACTTTTATATGCTACTTAATATACTTGGTCTAATCTCTGCTACTATAAATATTAAATTTTCAACTATAGAAAGTACAAATGGTCAAAGAATTATTTTTAAAATTAAAAACTTTATACAGTTTTTAAACGTTCACTCTATTCACAGTTATCACAAAAAATTCGCTATATTCTGTGTTGTACATTACACCCCTGTAGCCTATCTTATACCCAACAGTTGGTGTCTCCCACTTCCCCACCCCTACCGTGCCCTTCCCCTTCCGTCTCCCCACTGGTAACCACTAGTCTGTTCTCTGTATCTGTAAGTCTGCTTCTTTCACTAGTTTGTTCTATCTTCTAGATTCCACATATAAGTGATATCACACAGTATTTGTCTTTCTCTGTCTATTTTACTTAGCATAAGGGCAAAATTTTAACTAGACTAAGGAGACAGTAAAACCAGGCATCTGGATAAGAACAATAAAGATAATAGTAGCAACTATCATTTATTATACTAATACTTTATATTTCATTAAATCCTCAAAACAGCTCCAAGGGATAGACTTGAGTATCCCATTTTACAAATGAGAATGCAACTGGGGACACACACGCTGAAACAAATGTTCTTTTGTTAGTCGTTAAAGGGCGCACAGAAACAGCATGAAGAGTAAAAAAGAAGGGGAATGCTTATTTCAACATTTTTAAACATTTTTAAATGTGAAATTATGAAGTCCTTACTTGTAGTACTTAAACATGTATTAGCCTCAGTTTAACAAATATCTTGCCATTTCAGTCTTAACACTATCTAAAAGGCAAATGATCTCACCTGCCCTACCTACACCAAAAGAACAATGCAAAGACCATAAGCTACATGAAAAAATACTCAAACATATTGTTACAAATACAGAGTGATTAAGCAGACCTGGTTTAAATTAGGCTGATATGGGGGGGAAAAAGTTTAAAAGAGTAAGTTTTAAAAATGTAGAAGATATAAAAAGGTGAAAACTCATACTCACTGCGTCAGTTCAAGTGTAGCTTTTCTGGAGAATGCCCACGCTACTTTCTCATCTCTGTCTTTTGGGATGTCATTTTTATCCTCGTAAGCCAAGAAATAGAGTGAAAATTTCATAGTGGGAAAATCTAATTTTTGGAGTAGCCTAAAATTAAACAACAAAAAGCCTGAATCAATTAACAGGAAAAGTTGATTCATACTAAAATCAACATGGCAATATTCTACAAAGAATAAGAGCTGTACATAGTGAGGCTGTTTTGATATAAAAAGCAAGGGACAAAAAAAATCAATGAAAAAGTCTCATTAAAAAAACTTATTCATTTGTAAATATCAGAGAAATAAAAAGTTTTTTTAAAAAATACAAACTTTTGTAACTCATCAATTCTTTCAATATAATGAAATTTAGCTGGATTTATGGTACGCAAAAGATATCTTCAAAAGAAAACTGTTCATGTTTAGTGAAAAATAGAATGCATTATACCTTACTGTTCTTTCAGATATATGGCATCAGTTAAATAAAATAAATTTATTGAGTTCTTACTAAGTAATGCCAATACTCTTAGGATAAGAAATTGACAATAGGTGTTAAGAGAGGGCAGATTACTATCACAGAAGACATGAATGTCAACGGTAAAGTGGTTAACAGTATCAAATACTGCAGAAAGGTCAAACAGGATTAAGTCTGAGAAGAGGTCAGTAGATATGGAAAGGTCCTGTGAGGGCAGTTTCAGCAGCATGGGGCACTAGAAGCCGGAGAATGGAGGTGAGCAAGTAAAACAGCAAGTATGGTCTACCCATGTAGGTGGTCGTGATGATGGGAAGGATGGCAAGAGAGCAGAGGGCAAGAATTATCCTAGAGCAGAGAAGGCTTAAGCTTTTTGTAGGTTGAGGGGAAAGAGCAGTGGAAAACGAGAGACTGATTATATATAAGTAAATGAATGAATTATTCATCCTGAGGTTTTGAAGATTCATTGAAATTGTGGCCTCTAAAGTGAGTCTAAAGAGTGCAAGATTATTTTGTAAGAAGTAGGGTAGAATGAGGATGCATACAACACAATTTTCTTCAGATCACTGAGGATTAAATGGTCAAAGATAACCTCATTTAAAATCATTAACAGGGAATGGTTGAAGCATAGCAAATGGAAAGTTTCTAGAGTTCTATTACAAATCTTTTGATTATCACTGCTATGTAATATGCCTTGGCCCACTGAGATCTATGCATTGGCTTATCACAAATAGATTGTTTATAATAAGGATCAAACATCTCAAATACTCTAACTATGAAAAACTATCTCTGCACCTATGAAAGCGGACTGCATAAGCCTTACAGACCAATCAGATGGGAACTAGACCTGTTGTAACTTTCTTTTCTCAGCTGAGCGTATCTTTCAGTGTAATGTCAAGTTGAACCCCATTTGGGGGCTCTTTAAAAACAAGATCAACACTGGAGTCCATTTGGTTTCCTCTTTCCATGTAAAATGGGGATATAAGCTATTTCATAAGCCTACTGTGAAGACTGAATGAAATAACACATAAAATGCCTGGCAAATATCAAGTGTTCAATAAATCTGTTTTCATTCTGTCCTTTGAATATGTCATAATTACTTTGAAATAAGCAAAATTACTTTTTCTGGAAAGAATTATAAGAAATTGTTAACAGCAGTTATCTTTGAAAAGAAAGACTGGGAGAGAGAGGCTGTCACTTTTCATTTTGTATTTTTCAGAACTGGTCAGATCAATGTCAATAGAGGTTATCTAGGCAGTATATTAAAGATCATTTATTCTTTATATATCTACATTACCAAAAACAGACAAAAAAACTCATGTTATTTAGGGAAACAAATCAAGAAAAATAAACAAATATATCTTAAAGATTACAAAATCAGTAGATACAACCTACTCAGCAATAGAGAATACATCCTAAAAAATGGGACAGATCTCCAGTTTTAGATATGTCTTTGTAGCTGTATTTCTTCTGAAGTACTAAACAAGAGGTTAAAAGTGGCCATAACATCAAAATGGTCTTGATTCATCAACGATTTAACTGGCAGCTCTCATACAGAAGGAAGTTAGAGAAAATCCAAGTATTCATATCTTGTTGCCCAGTGAGCCTGGATGGGATAGAGGAGAGGGGCCCGACAGATGCCCTGGCCAGTCAATCTGAGTTCCAGGCTCCTGTCCAAAAGGATTTTTGTGACCTTTGAAGCAAACTTTAATCTTTTTTTAAATGGATCTGAAAACATTCCCTATATTTGCAAAGATATGTTTTTAAACATTACAGGCACCAATAGTTTACTTACGTCATTCCAAGAATTCTAGTATAAAAATCCAGTGACTTCTTAGGATCCTTAATCCTCAGCATGGTCTGCTGCAGCAGAAAATCCTAAGGAGAAACAGTATATATTAAGTACCTTTAACTTTTACCACTTGTTACCAACATTAATTGTGCTTTCAATAACAAGATACAGTCTACCATTGTTAACACATCGTTTAGGAAGAAAGCAATTTTGTCCCTTTCAGTCTATCATGGCTTTATTATTCTATTCAGTCCATAAAGGCTACACTCAAATTCATGTACTTTAGGCACAGATTTTTTTTTTCCTGTAGTTGCTGTGAAAGAAGTATCCCTTACCTTTATCCTAGCCTATCCTTATACCTATCCTACAATCTTTCTAAAAAGCAATTTGGATCTCAGGAGTCTTAAAGAGTTCATACTCATTGACCAAGACGTTCCTCTTCTAAAAATTTAAGGAAATAATTAGAAACCGACAAAGATTTATGTATTAAGATATTCATCAAAACATTTACACTCTGTGTGCCAGATACTCTCTAAATAATTAACAGAAATTAAGTTATATAATCTTTACAACAACTCTATGAGATATGTATTATACCACCCCCATTTTGCTGCTGAGACAGTAAGTGGCAGAGAAAAAACTCCAGCCCATACAATTTTGTTCCAAAGTCTTTGCTTTCAACCACCTTACTAAACCATCTCTAACAATGAAGGAATAGTTAGATAAATTATGATGCAAACATAATAGAATATTATGAAGACATTAAAAATGCTGCTTTAGAAGCATGGGGATATGCACATGGTATATTAAGTTTAAAAAGCAGAATACATATATAGACACATTATTTTCTGTAATACGCTATTAAGATTAATGACATCTTGAAAGTAAAGTTAAAGCCTTTAAATTTATTGTCTGTTAGCACAGACATGTGTTATAGCTGTATAAATATACACATATAAAAGGATATTAAAATTAACTTTTAAAAGTCTATACATTGTTACCAACACTGTATTGTACACTTGAGAGTTGCTAAGAGAGTTATCACATATACACAAAAAATAACTATGTGAGGTAATATATGCATTAACTAAACTTACTGTGGCAGTCATTTTGCAATATGTACATATATCAAATCCATGTTCTACCCCCTAAACTTACATGTTATATGTCAATTTTATTGCAATAAAGCTGGAAAAAATAGTTTAAAAAAATAGATACATTACTTTTCCAATTGAGAAGACTCAATACAATAAACATTATTTCTAAGAAAACACACAGATATAGACTCTAACACTATTTTTAACCCTTACAAAAAGTCTATACATGGCAAAAAGAAAGAAGTATTTTTTTTAACATTTTTTTATTGTGTTATAATCGTTTTACAATTTTGTGTCAAATTCCAGTGTAGAGCACAATTTTTCAGTTATACATGAACATATATATATTGTCACATTTTTTTCTCTGTAAGTTACCATAAGATCTTGTATATATTTCTTGG